CTTTTTATATACCCCCCCCCCCCCCCCCCAGGCGCAAACATGGTTTAAAATGGCAAGTGGGTAACGGGACATATAGACACAAGGATCAATTCGGAAAAGGTCGGCATCACCAGGCTTACAAAATCAGCAATTTGGCTGTAATGCAGGAAAAGTGTGGTTATGGCGGTGAATCGGTACACGGTATGCAAAGAAACGGCTCATCTTGTATTTTGAGGTGACGTGGTCACTGTGAATAGACGGCCAGAACACTCCAGCTTTGCGACAGGTCTTTGAACATTGTCTTTCTAGTTGGTGCCTTTTCCCAGACCAGGGTGTCCGAGTGATGATTGTTGCCGAATATCCAGACCGGAGCAGCGTTGGACCTGAACTCCTGACGTGTCATGTTGTACTTGGGTATGCAATAGAATTTGAAATTCAGCAGACACCAGTTATGCAGGTTTGGTGATACAGAAACGGTGCTGAGGAGGCGGGAATAAGCTTGTGGTTTCATTGCATAGAGGTACTGGTGGCTCACTGTCACAACACCGAACGCTACTGCACCATGTCGGGCTTCCCGTCCCAAGCTGAAATTCTTTAAGCCGTCAGGATACGAGCCGGCGCGACGTCTCACGAGATGTCGCTGGAAACTGTCATAACGAAAGAAACGCAAATGTGTCATGTAGCTCGAAATGACTAAGAGTACTAAAAGTACAATATTTTGCCTATTGTCCTACAGCACTGAAAGGGAGATCGTGCTTCCAGCTCAGTTAGGTCTATTAGTTACAGCGACATGTCCGTTGATATGCTCCCCTGTGACCTTGATACGGAATTCGCCTCCGGCCTGCAACTATCCTATTCTTTACCGTGGGTGCATTGCTGAAAACTTCGTTGCCAGTGTTCCCAGTGCCACTGCAACATTACCACACCTCGCACATGCTTATTTGTAAAAGTCAAATTTGTTATCATCGCTTGTACCCTTGACTTGGCTAGAGTATGCATCCTCCAAGTCGCTCTGAATGATGTTGTATCGGTTCTTGCGGACCGCCCGCAAACCAGCCTCCTGCATGATGGCGGCAATAATGGCGCCCGAAAGAGGGTCGTTGCGTACAATCAGGCTGTCTAGGTCGACTTCAGGGGCGAGCGACATCTTGCTAGCAATAGTGGTGAAGATGAGACGACGTTCGCGGCGATCCCGCAGCGAGGGGAATTCAATCTTTCGGTCCAACCGACCGGGACGCAGCAAAGCGGGATCCAGAGTGTCGGCACGGTTGGTGGCCATGATGACCTTGACGTTGGATGTTTGATCGAACCCGTCCATCTGATTAAGAAGTTCAAGCAAAATACGCTGGACTTCACGATCGGCACCAGTCTGGGCATCAAAACGCTTGGTGGCAATAGCGTCGATTTCGTCGATGAAGATGATGGCAGGTGAGTTTTCGCGGGCCATTCGAAAGACATCTCGGACCATTCGGGGGCCTTCTCCAAGGTACTTCTGAACGAATTCAGAGCCGACAACACGGATGAAGCTGGCGGTGGTCGAGTTGGCAACGGCTTTGACAAGCATAGTCTTGCCCGTTCCCGGGGGGCCGTACAACAGAACACCGCGAGGGGGATCAATACCAATCTGCTTGTAGAGGTCGAAATGCGTCAAGGGTAGTTCGACAGCCTCTCGGATCTCCTGCTTCTGCATATCCAACCCGCCAACATCGGCATATGTCACATCAGGTTTCTCGTCTGCGCCAAGCATGGCAATGGAAGAGTCGGCTTCAGGGGGGAGGATGTCGACGAGAGCATTTGAGTGTCGATGAAGGGCGACAGAGGATGAAGGCTTGAGCAACTCGCGGTCAAGGGTAGAAAGAATCCGAACGACATAGTTAGATCCGGTACTTGACTGAACGATACCCGTGCTGCAAAATGAGACTTGGGTCAGCGAACAACTCTGGCGAGGGCAATTCCAGGACTAACATACTTTTGATCGATGGCTTCCATGAATTGGCCGATGACTAACGGCACACTCTGAATGCGCTTGATTTCTTCCTGGGCTCGCACCAGCTCACGCTTCAGGCTCCTATACAATATGCTATGTTAGATATTGTTTCCGGTTCCATGGCCCCATGGCGAGGACTTGTGGGAGTGGCGAATAACGGGAAGCATACCTTTGCTCATCCTTGATGTACTCTTCTTGTAGCTGAATATATCTGTAAACAGTCAGTACAAGGGTTCGCGGTAGTACAGGTCGGCGGCTCCGGTTGAGAATCCACAGCAAGATATCCTTAGACTCAAGAAACATGGAGACAAAAATGAGAACGTGCTTACTCTAGCTGTCTCTGCAACTTCTTCAGCGAGGCGTAGTCATCGCCGCCCTCTGTCGGTAGGCCCTCGAAGCTATCAATGGTGGGAATTGCTGATGGAGCGGCCTTTTTGTGTGGTGGCGCATGGTTGACCTGGCTTTCAACTGCAATGTCGCCCATTTTATGGCAGCAACGCAGCTACCTCTGCGACGAGGATATGATGTGAGATGGCTTGCGAACGGAGGGGGCCCGGAAAGCGGTCGAAATCGTGATTCAGACACCCAGTTGACAGCGAATACACGAAATTAGTCACGTTGCAGTGTGTAATACAATGTCGAGATGAACGAGGTTCGTGAAGGGCGATGCTGGGAGGTTGATGAGGATGGATTTGTGATGGTGTCTCGCCGAAGCTTTGCGCACCGTAGGCGTCAACGGCGAACGTAGCCTCGCAGAGCCCGGATGAGCTTGGATGCTTAGTCATGCCGGATGGATGGTGGATCACTTGGCTTAAAAGGGAAGCATGCACGTGACAAGGCATGCAAGACGATTGAGAGTGCACCGACGACTACTGCTGAGGTACAGAGTAACTGAAGAGTCTTCCAGGTCCGCGTCAAACTCGAAGCCAAGTGAACATCAATTCCATGACACCATGTTACCTAGAGCCATGAGCTCTCAGCATGTAGCAGTAATGTGGCTGCCGCTTGGTATCTTTGCCCAATGCCAAACTTGGATTGATTGGTCTTGGTCAAACCACGACGCTACACAAGGATGCCCAAGCGGCCAAGCGACCTAGATTCAAACTGACCGCAGCGCAGAGGCGGCGCCTGATGGGAGGAACGGAGAAGAATGAGATGTCCCCGAGTGGTGCAGGTGGCTCGCGTATGCCGACCGGACAGGCATTTCATGCATTTAGGCGCTCAGCAAGCTATCAAGCAAGGTATCGCATCCAATTGCTCGAAACAACGACTTGAAATGGGTCGTGAGGTTGGCCGGAGGCAGGCTCTCGATACGGAGCGCGATGAAATGGAATACTACTCCATACAAACCAGAGTGAATGTTTCAATACCTACTAGATACCTAGGTAGCTAGCCATCATTTTGGCCACCTAGTTCCACTTAACAGTTGTTCAAAGCAACGTGCCCAGATCATAGATGTTTGTCAACCAGAGAGCATTATGCCGGGATATACCAGATACATAAGAGCATATATAAGTCATGGGTGGTACTTTGTTGGGTCAAATCGTTTTGGCCTCCTACGCAAATGGAGTAGAGTTGAACCCCAGGTTTCGTCTAGGGTTAGCTTCCTGACAGGACGAGAAGATGATACATTCGAGGCTTGGGCATGACTGGATTGGAACTGGAATGGCCTGGTGTTCTGGATCTGGTGCTCCTAGTACCGACGTTGGGTGAATCCAAAAAGACTCCAACTTGGTCAATGTCTCAGCCCTGATGGTCTAGGCAGAAAGATGGTTTGATGGATCCCCAACCACCAACCCCGGTCTAGCCTGGTGGCATTTTCGCTTGTTCGATTGCAGTTGAGGCTCAGACTACTCCGTAGCTGTCACGACATTGTACCTTGCCAAGGTTGGGCTCGAGGCTGGACAGCAAGCTAGTAGTAGTATTGCACCGGGTACATGGGCCAGACACAAATGCCGACGGTGAGAACGGAGTACTATTGCATGTCAAAAGAGGCGCTTTTCTTGTGAGCTCAAGGTCCACGGATCAATCATGGCACAAATCCCATCTCCTGCCTCGATCCCCTGTCCCCAGAACCCCGTCTGGGACGTCCATTTCGCTCTGGTCTACTCCGTACGGAGTACTCCGTAGCTACGAGTACCCCGTGTGTACTCCGGTCTCCATACATAAAATACCAGGCACCGATGTAGGTACGGGGCTGTCATTTGTTCAATTTCACGACCGTGTCCACCAGCGGTCTGGTGCGTTTCCACACTGCCAACACATGGAATATTAGTGGATCGCTCGCTCGCTTTGTAGCTTGCCAGGACACGCAGTGACATTCATGTCCTGACTGCGGCTGCGACTCCAGATGTTACTCTCCACATGTCTCTGCAGACTGGATGTCACTCCTCCGGAACGCTCACCTGCCTTGCACCTGCGTCCTGCTGTCGGGCCTCCATGTCTTTATCTCGTTCTCTCTCTCCGCTCGTCGTCCTCTTTTCCCTCCTTTCTTTCCTTCCCTTGCCCCTACTTATTGCTCTATTAAAGCCGAGTAGCTACGGATGCCATTTCCAATCTGCATCCGCCTTCCAAGCCTTTAATATTCGCCATCCACCGCCTCCTCTTGCCTCTCCTCCTGCCTCCGCCTTGACGGCCCACACGCTCTCGTTAGTCTTCCCGTAGTCGGCGCCTCCTTGATTCAACGTTCGGCCGGCTGCAACAGTCAAAGTGCGGCTCTCGCTCATCAACCACCCGTCACCCACCTGGATATTGCCCATCCCATCCCCCGATCCGGCACGACTAGCCCGACCAGTCACCCTCCTACTCTCAGAGTAGTCACCACACCAATCGACCTCACTTCTTCGTCATCCCCCCCCCACACCTCTCCTCATCCCGACTTCTTGTCGCCTCTCTCAACAAGCACTGTTTTCAACAACCGCCGCCATCCTTTTTCTCCCGACTGTATATAACCGCCTCGCCACTCGCCAGCATTCATCTCGTCTCGCTTGTCTTGCCGCATATCCCCGTCCTCGGTCCGTCAGCTCTCGCCATGTCGTCATCCATCACCATTCCAACAACCCGATCTTCGGCTTCAACAGATGCATTTCACGCCTCGTCAAAGACTCTTGGTGGCTCATCCATGAGCTCCTATTCAAGCTCTCCCTCACGTTCCTCGCCTTCTACGAGCCCAAATACAAAGATGCTGCACACACGGCGACCCAGTTTGTTGAGTAAGTGCTAGCTTGGACCTGTGCACCCTTATCGTGCAATCCACCAACCTTGTTACATCGGTTTCCCAGCTTGGGTGTGGAAAACTTCGTCAGACAGAGCTACTACGAGTCTCTGCGCCAAAACTGTGTGCACCATTTACTGATACCCGTGACAGGCTCGGCCATCTCCAAGCAGGAGAGCACCGTCATCAATATTGGCGACCCTGATGGACCACCCCGTCTGGTAAGCTGCCCTCCCCTCCTTACTAGGCTGTAGTCCATATTTTATGAACAAAGCTAAAACTATAATTCAGATCTCATACCTGTCCTCCAGTCAGGGATTCGTCTGGAATCCAGGTTCGTTTACTGGCCTTGGCCCAATTCAAGCCACAACTCGCAATTGACCTTGTGCACCTAGAAATATTCCTGCCCTCATATGTCGACTGCGACTACGTCCCGCTCGAGAACCAGCGTGAGCCGGTCCACGAAATCATTCTCAGCGACGAAGAATCTCGGAATATGCTGCCGCATTAACAGACTGTGGCTGGATCTCACTCCATGCATATTTGATTGCAGGGTCCGGACACCCTGGGGTTCAGACAAATATCTCCGGTCTCAACTATTTTTTACGAGAGCTGTTCAGTGATTTCACAGCGCAAGCTTTTACTTTCTCTGGCAGACATTGATTCTTTACGCCTTTACCCCTTTCTATTCCCCAGCCTTTTTTTATGACTTGTTTTCACCTTGTAATCCAATGACATCACCAATGGTGTCTTCCTTTTTTTTTTTTCTCAAAGAAAAAATTCCCTTGCTTCAATGTTCGTTGCGCAGGGCAGAAGGCGACCCTATGATGCATAAGGCACTATATCCATCATGGCACTGTTGAGCTCGGCGTACACAATGTGCTTAGGCGGCTCTTGGGCCAACACAGGCAGAGGATACGGAGAGAAACGCATGATGATGACTATCACTGATATTTTGGGAAGGGCCTAGCCCTGAAGAAACTGGGGTTTCACGAATGAAGCTCAACGGTGCAAGGAGCGTTCGGAGTTGAGTTTTTTCGTCTTTCGTTCTATCCAGATTCTTGTCGCTTCTGTACGTTTGGTTCCTCGTTTGCTTTTGGCCTCGGTTTAGGTAGACTATGTGTGTTGGCTCCAGCTGGAGACTGGGTTTCTAGAGCACACACGGGGTGTTTCTAGGCGTTCGTATTCCATAAGATCTCCTGTTGACTGCAGTGTCCAAGTTGTTCAACATTGACAGTGCACGTAACTGTAATTGCTCGTTCGCAGGTGACAGTACCAACGGTCTGAGTTGAAACTCGACTGAGGCTCGACTCGTGGGCCGTGGCTTGAGGTGTGGACGAGATGGGTCGCCCCTTTCAACGAAGGACAGCCGAAGACAGACACATATTTCTGTGATGAAAGCAAATCACCTTGCAACGTAGCGTTCATCCGTAAATAGCATATGGTTATAATGATTCAAAACGCAGCACTCCTCGCCCTCTTTCAACATGAAACAAGGACCGTCAAAAGGTCAAGGACACGGCACGCAGCACGAAGCAGGGATGTGGGACTGCCCCGCCCAAGGGCACCTGCTAATTCAGCCAACTCCTCCATACGGAGTACGTACCTGGCTCTTACCCCACATGTCAACCAGCGAGGGTCAAGGGTTTGGCATGCCCTTCAGGTAAATGCTCCCCAAGCGCCAAGTCGAATGTGTGTGTTGTTTTGTGGCGATTGACTCGTTGAGGAGGTCTTTTTGGTTGTGGCATGGCTTGGCTATGAGATGCTCCGTGCTCATGGAATCGGCTGATGGATCATGGTAGAGCGGTCTCATAATGATGCGCACGTGCAAACATGTACTCTGCACTCTGCTCGTTTGGAGCAACGGCTTAAAGGCCCGCCTGCCGGCGATTTTGTGGGCTGATGGGTACATACTGTACATCTATGGTGGACCTACTTACTCCGTAGAGGTAGCTGTGGTTATTTCGGGCTAATCTTTCATTGCCCGGATCATCCCCCGAATATCCTTCAGTCATGACGTGCGGACTCGATGTACACCCCCTTACCAGGCAACCGGTTTGGTTGAGGCTATTGGTGTACTCCTGTAGTTCAATGCCGCGTCTTATTGAAACAGGCGTTGACCCTGCCTGCAGAGTGGAACTTTTCAAAAGAATGCAGTAACCCGTTCTTCGGGATGCGTAACACTTTTAGCTGCTCAGCAGGACAGACGAGTTCATGGAGATGGTATGTCGGGCCGCGCAACACCAAATAAAACATCATTAATCCTGTCACTCGCATATAATTAACAGTGAAGAAGAGAAAAGAAGAAGAAAAAAAAAAAGAAAAAGGCCTCTCCGCTAGTTTTATTCAAACTTCACCAGTATTTCATACATCAACAATCTTGTCATTCGTGGTTCAGCAAACATGCCCCACCAACATTGAACCCACCCGCGACTTTCCAACCCGTCGTTCGTGCGGCAAAGATAAACAACCACGCGCTTCCCGACGACAATCCCACAACCTCCCCTTCCCCTTCCACCGCCGACATGGACCAAGACTCGGCCGCCTCGCAGGCCCAGCGCAAGATCGAGCTCCAATCCCCCGAGGACCTGGCCTACCTCGTGGCCAAAGTGCGCGGCGCTGCAGCCGCCCGCATCAACGAGGCCTTCCCCCACGTCCCCGGCCAAGGCGAGGACGAGCTCCGGAACCAAATCGAATCCCTGGTCAACGAGGTACGTCCTCCTCCTCCTCCCCCGTCCACCACCCAAGTCCAGCGACTCACCCCGAAGCAGTACATCGACAGGACCTTCACCCTCGCCGCGCCAAACCTGTCCATAAACGGCCTCCCCGTCTCCTCGACCGAGTACCTCTCGCCGTCGCCCGCCACGCGCGACACCTACGAGCCCTTCGACGCCCGCAAGCGCCAGCGCGTCGCGGAGCTCATATCCCAGGAGGAGAAACTGCTCGAGGAAGTGGCGGCGCTGAAGCGCTCCGTGCCCGGCAAGGCGGCCGACGAGCAGGCCGCGCGTGTTCGGGACGCGATCCGACATGACGAGGAGATGGTCGAGGCCCGCAGGGCGGCGGTCATCGTGGACGCGGGCAAGGAAGGCGGCAGGTTGCGAGTAGACAGGCTGGAGAGGCAGGACGGTGTAGAGGCCGGGTTCAGGGGCGCCGTCGAGGCGCTGGGGAGACTGAAGAGGGACATGCCGTCTGTTGTGGCCAAGATGGAGAGGGCGAGGGTGGCGGGCGAGTACGTGTTGAATGCGAAATAGGCTTTTTTTTTTTTGGGCGGTTCAACGTGTGGTTTGGAAATGGGCATGCATCGTGTACGGCGTTTGGGGCGGCGAGATACCTCTTCTTTTCTTCTGTTCTCTATTTTGTGTTTTACGCTACGACGTGGACCACGACACGGCTGACATCTACATTTCGGCACATACAACTTTTTATTTTTCTTATAGAAATCGAACAACTAGCGCAGAATCATAGGTTACCATCAATTACACCCTGTAAACCAGCAGAATCGAGACTGAAATCTATTTTCTGTCCATTTTATATAAATAGTTCTCTTTATCTTCTCCTAGGCCACATATCCCTGCAAACAGTTAAACAAACTGCAAGTAGTGACAACGGCACCTGACCACTTGACCGAAGGAAGACATGTAGGAAGTAAGAAAAAAGTTTAGAATCTCTGTATTGAATCTTTTTTTCCCGTGTATGTTGGAGCCACCCATATCAATCAAACATCAGGTGCCTTTAATTTAATTTCCATAGTAGGACACATCTCTCTCACACCACAAGACAAATACTCTCCCATCTCAGCTGTCTACCCCAGCACGCCATTCTACACCAAACCCCGGGCATTTCTTGTTTTCTTTACCCAAGTCGAGAACTATTCACACGCGTCCTGCCATTTCAGCAAAAGGGGTCAAATACAAATATGCGAAAAAGAAGCGGTGTTTAAGCAGCAGCAGTTTGCTTTGCCTCGTCCTTGGTCTCGTCCTTGGCTTTTTCGGCGATAGGGGCAGACTCAGCCGCGGGAGCATCTTGGGGCGTCTCAATCTTGGAGCCGTTGTTTTGGATCGTCTTCTCGTCGGCCGTCTTCTCCCACCAGGCAGGTCGGGTCCATTGAGGGTCGTGCCATGGACCGGCATCACTGTTTTCGCAGCCACCCTCACAGGTGCAAGTACCGCCAAACTCAACGGGTAGACTCTCTTTATCGACATGCTTCAACAGCTCGCTCTGGTAGCCACTGCCAAGAATGTGGATCTTCTTGACGGTGACGGGGTCAAGCCAGCCCTTGACAACGCTCCAAACAGTTGAAAACCCCCACGGGGCGTTGATGAGGAACAGCTTTCCCAGGCGCTCAGGATAGTAGTTCTGGGAGATGACCGAGGCCTTGCCAACGTAGTTATAGACAGAAGGGACTTTGGTCACGGTCACGCCTTTGAGGTCCATGATGGTGCAGCAAGTCTCCAAAAGCTTGCCAGCCTTGCGAGAGCAGGCAGGCAGTCGTGGGTCGGCGAGCCGCTCGTACTCGACGGCAAGGTTGGTAAGCATTCGGTCGGCGGTGGTAATTTTGTACATGGCGGTCAGGTCAATACCGCCAAGTGTCTCGATGTAGATGGGACGGCCATCCTGTTCATGGGAGTCAGTACAAGCTCCACCAAATGGCACGTTACTTTATAGTAAACGGGTCACATTCACCTTGTCCGTCTTGTGGTAGAACTGCTTGTAGTACTTGGCAATCTCAGGCTTCTCGGGGTAGTCCCAGATGGGAACGGTCTCGTCGAGCTTGGTCTCCTTTCGCCACTTTTCGGTATCAACGAACCTGTTGAGCCATGTTAGAGCCTCCATTATTCTGCTGATCGATGTCAGGCTAGGGCAGTGAAGGGAGAGACCTTACATAGCCTTGGACAACTTGACATCCCACTTGCGCGCTCGCAGGAATCGCAACTATCATATGAAAAGAAACGTTAGTCCCTGCCTTGGTGACATGGTAAGATGTCCTTTGCTTTTTAATTTCCCGCTGCTTGTGTACGAGAAAAATAGGGATCAACATTCCAAGACATGCGTCAAAACTTTGGGGGTGTTACCTACCAAAGTCAATGTGTCCAGACGATCCGTGTATCCCTCAGCTTCAAGCATCATACGCAGCTGATGGACCTGGGCAATCTGTTGCTCATTAAGGTTACCAGCATGGCCATCCTGAGGCTCGGCAGCAGTAACCGGGAAGTCGTAGTTATCGTACTTCTTGTCGATATCCATGGTCGGCAGTGTGGTAAAGGGGCTTGGGGGAAATGACTTTTTTTTCTTTGGTGAGAGGAGACTTCTTAAATTTCCAGAAAAGTAGGAGGGGGCCGGGAGGAGCGGGGGAGTCGTGCTGGACCCAAGTAAACAAAGGGAGCAGGTCTTTGACAGTGGGATATGAAAGGGGAACAAAAAGGATGAAGGAGGAAGTGAGGAGCAAAGAGTTGGAGGATGATGATGACGAGGCGGAGAATGTCAACTGGTTACTTTGGCCAACTGCGTATTATGGCAATTAGCGGTGTTGTCGGGTTCCCTCCCAATAGAAATAGAGTCCCGACGTCCCTAACTTGAGAATTGGCCAGGCAAAGGCAAGGCTTGCGCTCCAAAGCTTGAGAATTTTGGTGGGGCTCTTTTGCATTTGCCAAGCCTCTGCCCCAACTTACGCCCAAGGCGGTCTAGCGCCTCCAAACTCATCCCCTCATCCCTCAAGATGGATGCCTCGTGCCTCATTGATGAGCTTCATCAATTGGATTGACTCTACAATACATGTTATGATCATCCGGGGTACGATTTGTCCTGCCGCCAGATCACCACAATAATGCCTGTATTCCTGTCGTCCCTCAACATGACTTTACACATGGTCATTTACAGCGCTGGAACACTGCCACTGAAGTATCCAGGCACATACTGTAAACGGAGTGCCGAGTTCCATCCATCTCGTATCACAAGTGTACCCAGAGTGCAGGTCTGGGGCCGGCCAGTGGCTACCCAGGACTCAGCACCCAATTGTTTACAACGTGCCCTGGAGTCGGCCCTGCAGGGGCTGCCACTCAGCACTGCGACTGACCACGGTCACAGAGGCCCTATCTGACCAGGTTGGCCAGGGAGTCGGACGCACACGTGCATCATCACGAGGTGATAAGATACGGATGGGTCTTGCCGTCAGGGTAGCTATTGCTTGCAAGACATCAGCACATCAAGCAAACCCATCCCCGGGTCGACTACTTTTTTCAACCTGGCATGCAGAGCTACATACGGACAGTCTAAATCTCTAATTGACCGTCAATAACACATGGAAACGCTCACATCACCATGAGGTACCCTCCGCACCGGATAACTCTCAACGTTGTCGCCCGGCACATGCACAGCGCAGTCACATCTCGAAGACCTCGTCGCTCCTTCCATCTCACCACACCAGCGAGCCTGCCCCGAAAACGACACTTCTTTACCTCGAATCCTTTTCTCTCCAACAACTCCGCCGACCAAGTCAAATCTGCTCCTCAACCTCTCAGGGATGAATCTCAAACTCTGTCATCCGCTGCTGCCAAGCGCAAGCCCACCCGCGCGACGACAGCCAAAAACTCCCTCCGCCGAGTCGCCATAATTGCACAGCAACCAAAGCGCGTAGGCGACAAGCCCAGCCCTCACGACAAAGAGATTGAGACTGAGACCACAATAAGCGCAACATGCATCGCTGAATCGTTCAACATGCCCATGGTGGTCGAGATACTCTCCTCGCACGGATTCGCCATTGACCCGGACAATACGGGTTTCGACGCCAGCGAAGTAGTCCACGCCAAGGGCGTCAACGGTGGAGACATCTTTGTCTTCCCCTCCGGTACGATAGTGACATGGTCGCTGCCGCCGGACGTCGTCACGAAACAAATCCTCCGCGCCGCCGAAGAACCACACCCCCCTCAGCTCTGCGAGGTCGAAGACCTCGACTTCATCACCGACACTACCCGTGCAGAATCCACCATGAAAGGCGACATGGTTGTCCTCGGCACCCGCCGCGAGCACAAGGACGGCGACACCCTCGACACAACCCTCGCCAAAATCGCCTTCTCGTCTGGTCTCGCGAGAAGCACCAAGCTCGCTGTCCTCGAGAGCGCATTGACCGCGTACTTTGAAAGCACTCGCAACATCCCTGCCATCTTATCCCAGGGCTCCGGCGTCCCTCTTGGCCGCAAATTCATCCTCCAAAAGACGGGTGAACTACTAAGTCTGCGAGCCCGGCTTAACCACTACTCCGAGTTGACCGACTCCCTGCCCGACATCTTCTGGGACAGCAAATCCGAGCTAGGACTCGAGGGCTACTATGACCAAGTCGGGCGTGCGCTCGACGTGAACGTACGGATTCGCACGCTGAACCAAAAGATGGATTATGCACAGGAAATAGCAAGTGTGCTGCGCGAAATGTCGAGCGAGCAACACGGCACGAGGTTGGAACTAATCATCATCCTGTTAATCGCGGTCGAGGTGGTGTTTGAGTTGAGGAGGATTATTTTGGAATGGGGACAGGAGAGGAAGGCTGCTAGGGCGGCCAAGGCGGCAAATGAGGCTGTTGTGTAACAAGAGAATGGCCGTTCAGAGTGTACATATAGCATGCATTAGACCCGGACCTTTTTGTATCATGGTATATGTGTTATGGCGTTTGGACCTCAGGGCCTAGATCTGTTTTAAATGATACCCACTCAGCTCGACCTTTCACCAACCATTCCTGATGTGCATTGTCGTCCACTGAAGTTGAACGTGGAACGCATACTAGTCAAATATCCCCCCAACAGAGACACCTTCACAAGGCTCCAACAACCAGTCACAACAAACCATCACCGGCTCATGCCGCAAGGTCCAGGGCAGTTTATACGTCTATTCCGCTCGGAGCCAGCCCACGCCTCATAAAAAGAGTCCTGCCTCATTTAGCTACAAATCTGGTGTACAAAGTCCTTGCGGGATATATTCCAGGCGCTACTACGCTGCCTCCACCCCCAATCGCGTCTACTCCCGAGTCGTTTACATAGTTTGCTTCCCATTTCCTGTCCTTTTCTTGCCAATAGGGGGAAAAATTGTGAAAAAATAATAATAAAAAGAAACAAGACAACCAATTGGCTTTTTACTCCTAAATACGCCCTTGACCTTGGGAAATGAGAAAAAAAAACGTCAAAAGGGGTAAAAACATAGTTCCCCCTCTTCTCGAAAAAGAAAAAGACTGGCCCGGTCATCGTCTTCTAATAACCTCTTTCCC